CAAGAACCGGGGAATAGTCTGGTTTATTATGAATAGAATTTAAGTCACATATTATGCTTAACTATGGCCTCCTTAAACATGCATCAACTACAATTGGCGGCGTCCACACAATATGACGAATCAAAACCAAACAAACCACGCTTTGGCTTTGCATGATGTGGAAAGACCATCAGACCGCTATAGAAACAAAAAGACAGAGGATCACAAATGTGCGCTCTAGCACTAAATAAAACTGGGGATGTCCTTTCCTCTCTTTCCTCCTTGCCCACCCAAAGTTGTTGTGAATCGTGATTTACATAAAAGAAGATACTTGATGAAACCATTTGCAGACGGGCTGAACTACGTTGCACATAAGCTAGCAATTACAGCCTTCCATTCAAGACTAAGAAAGCAAAGCGTCACTCAATCGCCTAACTTAACTTTCAAGAGAAGCTAGAATTTCTGTGCACCCTTTTTGAGGAAAGCTGAACTGTTGGTTGGGAATGACGGCAATGCTGGTAGGAAAAAGACGCGGATGTTGGTTAGGAAGCAGGAATCCAATCCATATACGTAAAGGATATCAGGTTGATTTAAAAAAACCCAAAAACCCTGCTATGCTGCAGCTTCATAAATGCTTGATATCACTATATTTGCATATTAGTCCTAAAGCAAAACCAAAGAGCAAAAATCAACATCTGCTTCTACAGCCAGCAGGAAACCTGATAGGCAGCCTCTTGTCCTTTATGCAGGCCTCCCCCTCCCCCCCACCCTCAAGTAATTTTCTGACACACAACACGTAATCCAATTTATGGAAACCATTGCCACAAGATGCGATTACTGTGGTTGGTTTTTCTAAAAAATTATCTTTGTTAAAAATACATGAAAGACTGGACGTGACTAATCACCACCACCTGCAGAGAGAGCGCAAAGCCTCTCTGTATGTAGACACTACATTGGAGAGCATTCTTAGTCAGGGTCAAAAGCAAGAGCAGGCCCAGGATTATGGGACCTGAAATCCAGCACAGATGGAAGGCACCACACTTGACTCATAAACAGGCCACTTTTTAGAGCAACGTGGACTTTTGAGTTCAGAGATCAGCCAAGCAATAATATGCATCCTCTAAGAAAAACACAAATTACAGAACTATCCTAACAGATCCAGGAGGGGATCTGTTGCAAAATCTCAGTTCCTTATTCACTTTAAATATGATCAGTGCCTCCTCAGACCCTCCAGGCAAAAGCTAGGTCAATTACTTCCCCATTTGAAAATCAAAAGGGCTAAGCAACACACCCATCTGGCCAATATGAGCTTTGTAGCATATATACCAGTGATGGCGAACCTTTTAGAGACCGAGTGCCCAAAAACTGCCTCGCCCCCTGGCCTGCCCCCACTCCACCCCACCCTGCTCCACCCCCACATCACATGCAGGGCCACCCACCACCTCCATGGCCCGCTGCAGATCACCCAGGCGGCCCTGCAGCGTCATGTTGGCCACGCCCTCCGCCCGCGCCCCACAGCATCATCTGCATGCAATGGGGTACGAGGGTGGAGTTTTGTCCCTGCTGCCCAGCTGCCATGTGCTTGGCTGCGCTGCTCTGTGCGGGCTGTACCCAGGGGCGACTCTCCTCTGGGGGGGCTGCTGGTGAAGAGGGAGCCATGGGGGGAGGCAGGACTGGGGCGATGGCATGCGTGCCCACAGAGAAGGCTCCGAGTGCCGCCTCTGGCACTCATGCCATAGGTTCGCCACCACTGATATATACCATTGGCTTGGGTGATGGATATCTCCTGGGTATCCAGTACAATAAAAACATAACACAGTTAACTATTATTACAACAGCAAAACCACAACACATAATCCAGGGTAAATACTGTCCTTATCCAGATAAATGGTTTGATTCAACAAGAGCTTATTCTTCAGAAAAACAGAGATGGTCAACCAAAAACCAATACGGACTTTTTGGGAGAATAAGATTTCAGCAACCTAGCAGATAAATTTTCTATTCACTGCCTCTTTAGCAAAATTAACCCATCTGCTTTTGTACTTGAAGATTTTATTAGTTTATCAGAATGAATAATACAAAAAAATATATAAAAATAATGGAAAACAAGAAGGGGGAAAGGGAGTGGGGTAAAAAGTAAAAGAGGTCAGTGAAAAAAGTGTTGACTTCCAACTCTTTTTAGAAGAGTAGACGATATAAATGATGATAGTTTATAAAGATTAATAGGTGTAAACAGAAATGTATATTATTCCCCACAGCAAAGAGAAAAAGTAGCAGCAATAGTTAAATTGATTTCTCTATCCAAGAAATTTTAATTTTGTTTTTCTTTGGACATTGCTTCTGATTTTTGTGCACGTGATGGAAAGAATGAAGCTTTGATTTTGGTTTTGCTGATTAATAGGTTTGTTGTTATAGAAATGGCTAGTGTATATTATTGTGAAAAAGTAAAAATTGGCGGTCGTAATGTTAACATTAACCCATCTGAAGAAATTGGGGGGGGGGGGGCAAAGTAATTTTCAAGAGTGCAAAACCATTTAGAAAATGTTTCCTTAGCCTTGCTTTCAAAGGAGTACAGTTCTCTCAAATTGTTCTCACATCTTATTGTGATGCAATGAGCCAAACGAAGAGCACATTGGGTCATCTGGACAAAAACGTCTTCATTCTTGAAACATACTAAAACCAAACAAGAGTTCTTAATGTGACTTGGGAAGCATCTGATGTGCTTCAAGAAGAGTGGAAAACTTCTCATCCAACATCAATGTAAAGAAGATCAAAGCCACCTGCTGCTGCTGTTGCTAAAAAATCCAGAGAAGGAGACCAACTGGGAACACTACTGTATGTATTTATTTAAAATATTTTCCATTCTGCCCTTTGGTTTGATATTTCAAAGTCTTCTTATAATTAGTCACAAAACTCAACCAACTACCACCAACAGCAAAGTATCGAAGATACTTTAAACAGCAAGAAACTTTACAATTACAGGATGGTACCCATCCCATCAGCGACTCCTCTGAAGAACATCAATTTCTCAATAAAAAACAGCATTAAAACAAGTCACAAACCTTAAGCACCTAATTGTGTGAAAAGCTAAATGTAACTTTCTAGTGTGCCTTACTACTGGCTATGCTCTATATCAGTGGTGGCGAACCTATGGCCCCTCGTGCCAGAGGCGGCACTCAGAGCCCTCCCTGTGGCCACGCGTGCCGTTGACCCAGCAGAGTTCGCCAGAGTAGCGGGCACATGGCGTTTGGAAGCGACGGGGCAGGAAGTGAGCAAGCAAGCGGCGGTGGCCTCCCAAGAATGCCCTTGAGATGGCAAGGGATTGGCCCTGGCCATGCTCACCGTCTGCTGTGACCACTTCAGCCATGCCCACCCAGTGGGCCACGCCCCCCACGTCCCCCCTGAGGGCACCACAATGCTGATGCAGCCCTGGCACTTTGCGATAAGTGGGTTTGGGGTTGCAGTTTGGGCACTTGGGTCTCTAAAAGGTTCGCCATCACTGCTCTATATATTCCACACTATTTTCTCCATACAGGCATTGATCAGCCCAGAAGAGTTGGCTTCCTTCCTTCCTTCCTTCCTTCCTTCCTTCCCTCCCTCCCTCCCTCCCACTCCATCCTTCTCATTTCAGATGTCTACAATAACACCATTACTACCGCACCACCTTCCAAATCAGCAACTGTAGGAACCGTTATCCTTCAAAATATTTAAAGGAACAAGGGATCTAACTGTGGCCAATGCTCAAAAGATCCTTGCTACCAGGTGCCCCAAATCCCAGCAAATAGACTCATGTCAATCCTGCTGTACCAAACCCATCCAAGCCACTCAGAGACACTGCAAACTGCAAGATGGACAGCAAATAAATATAACAACAACAACCCAGACTTAACAATTGTCAATAAGACAAAAAAGTGTGGATAGTGGTATAGCAACACCACTACTTGGAGACAGCGGAATAGGAGAGAAAGAACTGGAGAGGATAACAAAATACAAAGACCTACAAATAGAAATAGAACGACTGTGGTAGAAGAAAGCAAAGGTAGCACCAATAGTAATAGGCGCCTTGGGTGCAATTCCAAAACAACTGGAGCACCACTTGAACACCATCATCGGCATTGACAAATTCACCATCAGTCAATTGCAAAAGGCAGCCTTATTAGGATCTGCTTCCATCCTGCGATGATACTTGTAATACCATCAAACCACCACATCTGCCTATCCCAGGCCCTTGGAAAGGACTCGTTAGGTAGACAGAAATGCCAAACCCCGTCTGAACATCTGGCTGACTGTGCGACAAAGCACTACATCTTGACAACCCCATCAAACAAACTTAAGTAAAACTGCAAGATAGTTACTGGTGGTGAAGGTTTCTCCCGAACGACTTTGGCCTCTTTCATGGATAACTACTACAAATTCTCAGTATTCATTATCAATCAATAATAATAACAACAATTTGCACGGATGCTTAGAAATTGTATTCAAGATGCTTAGAACTGCCTTTCACCCTTCAAGCCAATGGAGGGTAACTTTCTCAAATGGTAAATGTTTATTTATTTATTCATTCATTTATCCAATTTAAAGATTGCCTATCTCATTCACAGAGCAGGTTGAAACAATCCTTTGCTCACTCGTTGATCTTTAATTCAGATCTCGAAGTTGCCAAGTTCAGAGAGAGGGTCCTTCACTTAACACGCACAAGAGAACTTTCTCAAGCAGTGACAACACACATCTACAACAGAAAAGACAGTCCTTCTTCCTGCAAACTGATTGCACAAAAGTCCAAAACCATGAATTAACCAGCTCAACCGATCTTCCCGGTTCAGAAAGCCATAATTTTGGAAAATAAAACCAATGAGAAAATTTAAAAAAGGAAGATCTGCTTCCTCGTGATTAAAGACCAAAAACAAAAAAAAAATTGAAATAGAAGGAAATTAACTTTGCAAGGGGCCATGTGCGTTTTTGTTCCTCAATCAATAGCCAATGCTCAGTGTTGGGAGACGGGGAAATAAACAAAACCTTACCCTTCCTTCAGAAGTAATGCTCTCAGCTAGATCTGTCTGAAAATCCATTTCTTCTTCAGCTTTCATTTCCGGAGAGTCTGCAGAAAAAGAGAGAGAAATGTTTGTGTGTCTTTTAATAACTTCTCCAGTTACCTCAGTTTTAACAACATAGCTGGTGTCCCTTCATCCCAATTCAAACAATCAATCAATCAGAATAGACCTGGAAGGGACCTTGGAGGTCTTCTAGTCCAACCCCCGCTTAAGCAGGAGACCCTGCATTATTTCAGACAAGTGGCTGTCCAGTCTTTTCTTAAAAACCTCCAGGGATGCAGTACCCACAACTTCTGGAGGCAAGCTGTTCCACTGGTTAATTGTCCTCACTGTTAGGAAGTTTCTCCTTAATTCCAGGTTGCTTCTCTCCTTGATTAGTTCCCATCCATTGTTTCTTGTCCTGCCCTCTGGTGCTTTGGAAAATAAGTTGACCCCCTCCTCTTTGTGGCAGCCTCTCAAATACTGGAATACTGCTATCATGCCCCCATAAGTTCAACTGTAGAACTTCTGTTTGTCATGTTCAATCCCATTCCAATTTTAAAAGAATTTCACATGGAAGTCCTCTTCCAGGCCCAGTGGACCTGGCTATTCCAAAGGGCAGCATCTTCCAGATGTGTTGGAAATGCAATTCCTAGAATTCTTCAGCCAGCATTCTCTTGCTGGGCATTCTGGAAACAGCAGCTCCAACATATCTGGAGGGCACCAAGTTGGGTGGAGTTGGAGAAACCTGAAATCAAAAACATCAGGCTAGATGATGATCCTCTGGTCTGGCAGTGGTCATGGGTTTAGAAGATCATTTCCGAGGAAACCAAAATAGAGAAGTTTTTGTACAGAGGAAGAGTTTTTTCTAGTTTCCACTTATCACGTTAGACTTCAGCCAACAGTAACTTCGCTAGTGATTTGATTAACATTGCTTTACTTAATATCCGTGAACCATCTTCGGCAAAGCACTCAAAAAAAGCTTGCACCAACTTGCTCGATTTAGAAAACATTAAACAACTAGCAAAAGGGAGTTAGTTTTGGGGGCCTAATAAGCACAATCAGTTTACATTTCAAACTAGCATTGGGGAGTTTGGAACAAGTAGACGCTTCATTTCTACCTTGTTTTTCTCTCTGTGTAGCAAAAGCGGGGGATGGGATTTGCAAGGGAAGCTACTTTAGATGACCCACAGCACAACATTTTGACAGCTTTCAACAGCATCAACAACAACCGTTGGGAAAAAAGAGCAGAAGAGAAGGGAAGGGAGAATCGAGGGGGGGGGGGAATGGCTTGTAAGCCTTTGTGTTTGTTGTGGTGCAAGAGTGGCTACTGTCTCCTCAAAGTCGCAGGGGAGAACAGCACGCCTTGGCAAGCTCAGAACAAAAAAATGGCGTGCTTGGCAAAAGAGCCGGACCGCAAGCAAATGAAAAAGTGGGGGTTCCGATTTGACATCCCAGAGGGAGAAAAGGGGAGACAGACGCAGTGGGCAACCACTCACTTATTTTCCACTTCACACCATTCACACTTGCCGAGTCACCTAGAGAATCTCCCCTGGTGAACAGAGACACACACAGTTTAGCAATATCTTTCTCGCTCCCACTTTGAGGTCTCCACATACACACACCTTTCTCGGCTGGCTCCTGGCGCTCCCCACAAGTTCTCTTGCTCCTTGAGGCCATTTCTACTACCTAAGTGCATGTGGACAGAAACACTCGCATTTGCCGTGTTCCGGCACGGCGGAGACTGCAGTTTAATCCTGTTTCTCCAGTTGCTCAGCAGCTTTCCCTAAAACTACGCAGTCTCAGCATCACGGCTGGTAGCAGGTGCAGAGCAGGAAGTGCGCCTTAATTACAGGTGCCCGTTCCCAGCCCCTCCCCTGCGCCTTCGGTTTTTAGCTTCCCCACATATCCAGAGCAAAAGCACTTTTGGTGCCAAAGCAGCTTCCAGCAAAGACCTCCACCTAGGATTAGGGGTCTTCAAACCTGGCCCTTTTATGACTTGTGGACTTCAACTCCCAGAATTCCTCAGCCAGGCTGAGGAATTCTGGGAGTTGGAAGTCCACAAGTCATAAAAGGGCCAGGTTTGAAGACCCCTAATCCTAGGTGGACACGTCCACTTTCAAGGCACCCTCGCTCTACAAAATCCACGGCACGATTTCTCCAACAGGCCCTCCTTTTTGATGACGCCCAGAAAAATCTAGATTGCGTTTTTAAAAACGTGTGTTTTTGTTTTTTTGTTTTTTTTAAAGTTGGCAGTTCATCTGTTGTGCAGCTGGGCTTTTGCTTTCTTCCTTTCTCGATGCTGCTTGCTTAGAATCAACAGCCAGAGTTTAAAGGGGGTGAGGGAATAAATTTTTTAGGAGGCCGCCACTCCTAAGCCCAAAAAGGAGAAATGAACTGCCGAGGATCGCATGACAGCCAGCTCCCCGTGAGATTGAAATATCAAGCCCATCGTATGCCACAAAAATAAAATGGAGCTTGCTGGACGCCAAATCCTGTCAAGCAGGGCCTAAGAGCAGCTGTTATTTTTATTTATTTATTTTTTCAAGGCGGTAGGGTGCTCCTTCCAGTTTGGTTGCTGTGGAAAAAAAAAAAAAGGATCTTGTACACACCCTGCCTCCGCTAAGTCTCTAAGCAGCAAACGCTCCCAGTTTTTCCTCTATTTGCAGTTCAGCCTGGGATGACAGGGCAGGCAATTTTTATTTTATTATTATTATTATTTTGGAGGGGGGGGAAATGGGAAAACAGAATCTTTCACATTGTGTTTTTAAAAGAGAGAGAGAGAGAGAGAGAGAGAGAGAGAGAGAGAGAGAGAGAGAGAGAGAGAGAGAGAGAGAGAGAGAGAGAGAGTGCGCGCCCAACGTTGGTTCAATCTGTCATGTTCCTTCAGTTTTAACTTAGGAGAAATTTGCTGGTACTAATTTGCAGCGGATCAAACTTAACTGGGGGGGGGGAGAGGAAGAGAGCGGCCACACCTGTGATTCCTCAGGGCAAGCTCCATAATAGCAGCAGGGAGAGATCAGCTGTTTTTTTTCTTTTTAACCAGCTGTCTGAACAGGTGGAGCCATGAAAGCTTGCATTAAACTATCATTAAGCATTGCCAACAATTATGCCTCTAGGTTTCCAGCTCAGATGGAAGGAGGGGGGGTGGAGAGGCCCTTCCTTCGTTCCCTCACCACCTTCCTGGCTCTCACCTTTAAAGAAAAAAAATATATAATGAAAACAATATGCTCTAACAACTCCTGTTACAGAAGAGGCAAAATGGTTTTAAAGAAGGAGTCCAACCGGTCCGTCTTGATCCTTCAGGTCCTCGCTTGTCAACGTTGCTCTCGCTAATCAAACTCCTTCGTCCGGGCCTTTGTTTTCTCAAGTCGGAAATAAAGGTTTGAAGCCCAGCAAATATATACACACATACATACACACACACACACATAGACATACAAAGAGTGGGTAGCCTATTCAGAAGGGGTTTTGCATAGAGCAGAAATGGGGACTGAGTTTTTTTTAAAAATAAGTCTAGCTTTCCTGTGACCTCAAACTACATTTGGATCCGGGCCATCTCGAAAAGACGCTTTTAGAACATGAGCAGCTGATAGGCAAAAATTTAACCCACAGCTCTGTGGTCTTCTCTGACCAAGCCAAGCCAGCACGAAACATGGAAACCTCACAACAAATAAGACACCTGTTCTGGAAGGAAGCCTGCATGAATACAACACACCATTCAATCTCCTTCTTAACAGATGCTCTGTAGGGCAGAACTGTCTAACTTGATGACAATTTAAAGGGGAAAGAGTCAAAGGAAAAGGGTCAGGAAGGAAGCAGGTGTGTGCTTCAAGCAATTGACAGCCTGGAGTTTAGTTGTGCAAAAGGAGAAAGAGAAGTTGGGGTAACCAGGCTACTACCTACAGATTTCCCAAACAAAGAAATGGGGATTTTGCATGCTTTTCTGTTCCCCACCTTCTGTTCCCAAGTTGGCTAGTCGCATCCTTCCAGCAAACAGACTCCCACTACCCTCACTTGTCATTCACAAATCACATCTCCCCTTTCTGCTGACCTAGAGAAGAAAACTGAATCACACTCTTTTTTTTTTTCTTTTGCTTACCTGCAATAGGTGAAGAGCTGGTTAGTTCCAGGGCTGCAGGGTTCATTTTGCTATCAGGCTGTACATTTATCTCCTCTTGAATTTCACTAAGGAGACATCTAGTCTCCTCGGAACTGGCTTCCACCGAGCAGGGGACTTCCACGGGATTTCCAGCGAGAGATTCCAAAGAGACATGTGCTTCTGCCGGCAGTATCACTTGACCAGGCATCATCGGGTCAGCGTTACCCAACAGACCATCAGGTTCCCGAGCAGAGTCTTTCGTTCCAACTTTGTCCAACTGCTCAGTCCCGGGAAGAAGGCAGAGAGGCGAGGGAAGGGATTCTGGCTCAGCTTGGCTAGTCCTCCTACTCCCTTTCTCTGACTCTCCCAGCTTCGTAACGTCCATCTCACTAGCCAACAAGGGCATTTCGGGACCAGAATCGCAGTCCCAAAGGAGTTCTTCGGCAATTGGCTGAAGCAATATTCGGGAAGGGGTGTTTTCCACTCCCCCCTCCTCCTGTGAAAGACCAGTTTCCATGGCCAGTTCAAGAACCGTCGGAGGAGCTTCCATCACATCCAATGTGCTGCCAGCTGGAGAGGCTGCTTGCCCAGCTGGACCAAGCTCAAGTCCCGGGTTCAGCATGACCTCAGGGGAAGGCGTCCCCCTGTTGCAAAGAGAAGCGCCCTTTGCCAAGCCAGGCTCTGGAGGAACATCCCCGAGTGCCTCTACCTTTACTTGCTCCTCAGGTTCCAGACTGGAGGCTTCCTCCTTTAAGCCAGGCTCGACATGGCTTCCATCCACCGGTTGCTCTCTCCCCAGATCACAAGAAGCCGATTGCACAAGGACTCCTGGAGGGAAGCTCTCCTTGCCAAGCAGTTCCTTCTCACGTTCAGGCAGCTGAGAAGAGCTGGGCTCCTTGTCTTTTTCCCAGCCATCCACCAGAGCAAGAGACGTGGCTGCCAGCTCACCTTGCGCCGGGCTTCCCTGTTCAGCTGCTCCAGTCAGCAGCTTTGTTGCTGCTGCTGCTGCCGCTGCTGCCTCTGCTGTTATTGCTGTTCCTACTTCCTGGTTTTGTTTGGAGTCTTGATTAAAAGCAGCAGAGGGTGTGCCCATTAAATGCTCCTGAATACACTGACTGCCCTCACCATGCAAAGATAGGGCAAGGCTCTCCAACTGTGAAGAAGCTTCCTGGCCAACAGAGGCTGCTGTAGCATTGTCCTTCTGCGTAACAATCAACTGAGCCTCCTGAATCGCTTTCTCCACAAGCAAGGCTGATGTCAGGGCGATGCGTTTTCGGAGGCTTTCGTCAGATTGATCCGGTTCCTCTTTGCTTCCTATCATCTCTGCCGGTCCACAAAGAGGCTTCTCGAGATCGGAAGGCGGCATAAAAGAGTTGAGAACATCTGGATGCGATTCAGGGCCGTCGCCTGGATCTGTGTGCGCTAGAGAGGAACTGAACTCTCGGTCTTCGCCCAAATCCTGTTTCTCATCCTGGTGTGCAACAAGAGACCCCTGACCAACCATGGTAGGATCGGCGTTTCCTTCGGTCTCTACTGGTGTCAGATCAATTACGTTTTGCTCACTCTGCTTTATCGCTGAGGTCTCTGGGATTTCAGTTCCACCACAGGCAGCCTGGGACTGCACGCATGTTGGGCTCTTCCCGGGCTTTTCCACACTGCCCTCTAGAGGAGCTTTCAGCTCTTTGCTGCTCAAATCCAAAACAGTGTTTTCGACAGACATATCTGCATCTCTCGGTTGCCCTCCATCATTCACTTCCATCGCAGAAGGATGCTCCAGAGAAAATCCAGAGGTGTCTATAAGGTTCTTGGGCAATGGTTCTATTCCAGGGTTTGGAGCAATGTTCTCCCTCTCCTTCTCCTCTGATTGTTTTGTAACAGTGTTTTTTGGTCCACTGTTGATGTGATTTTCTGTTCCAGTCTCTTTGTTACTTCCATTGTCAAGAGAACTAACATCTGCAGTAGCAACCACATCTACAGAACCTTCTGGCACTGAGGTTGGCTCGTTCTCATCTTTACAGGTGACAGTAGGGTCACCATCCCCAAGGAAGAAAGCAGCAGGATTGGTTTGTGATGCAACAGAGGATGGCAACGCTTCCATAACTGTTGTCCCAGAAGGCTCCATGTCAATTTCCCCATTTTTCATATACGGTTGGGATGTCACATTAACATCTATGGCCCCCGTGCAACTCTTGCATTCACCTTGTCCCATACTTACATTGCTGCCCTCACAGGAAGTTGGGGATGTATTTTCCGTTACTCTTGATTCAGACAGCTGCACTTCCTGGAAGAGATTATGTCCTTCACAGAAGTTCCCTTGTTCCAAAGTAGCACTGGAGGAGGTCATTCCAGCTTCCTTGTTGGTATTTCCCAAGGAGGGGAGGCCAGCAGCATCACAAGAAGTACTCTCGCTATCATTTTCTTCCAACGGTGCCCGAGAGTCTCCAACGGAGGAGAAACACTCCCCTTCCTCTTTGTGTGGCAATTTTTTGCCCTGACAGGAAGTCCTTTGGTTCTGCATTTCCTCCAACCTCAACGTCTCTTGTGATGCGCCTATGAGCTCTTCAAGCTGCTGGGAGCCGCCTTCCTCCCCAAGGCAGGCAGAGGGTGAGATCTCCAGCGGATCAGAAGAACCTTTTGGAGTTGCTTCAACCATCAATACATCCAAACCAGGCTCTGCAGCAGCTTCAGGACCCTCAGGCACGGGACCCAAACCACGGTCCTCCCAGGTCTGCGCTGGACAATGGTCTTCCTTCGCGTTCTAGAAGAGGACAACAGTTTTATTATTATTATTATTTTAAAAAAGTGGGGGAGGCAGTTGCAATGTACCTTTTTCTTTTGAAAATCCAAATATAAGACAAAATTAAGATGCTGTATCTGGATTTATTTTTTTTAACCCCTCGGTAGTTACTTTCCTCTGCAGCACTGTTAGCTGGAGAGCCAATCTGGGTAGGAGGAAAAGGGCCACAGTATAGATTCACCCACCCATCACCCATGTTCCTTGCTGCTTTTGAGTTTCGGTCTGCCACAGAGAAGAACCGAGGTGGAGCTGCTTTGAAAACTGCCTCCTCCTATTCCCTTACAGGAAGTTTTTCACTTTAGTTTAGCCTGAATCACCTTTTCCTCTGTGCCAATTCCAAGCAAGTTCTGTTGCTTTCAGCTTCTGGCATTCTCCTTACCTGAATTCTTCAGAGAGATTCCACTAATAATTGACTAGACTAGACCAGCCTTACCTGACCAGGTACTCTCCCAGTGGGTTGGGACAGCATCTCCCATGCTGGCAGGGAATTCTTAGAATTGCAAGCTGACTGCCTCTGGAGGGTACCAGGATGGTAAAAAGCAGCCCTAGGTTAGTCACCTCAAAATTAGATGGGAATGGCTGGGGGTTTTTTTCTTCCTTTCTTTTCCTTCCCTTTTTCTGACACTTTTTCTTCTCTCTCTCTCTTTTTCTTTCTCTCTCTCTCACACTCTCTCTCTCTCTCTCTCTCTCTCTCTCTCTCATTTCTCTCTCTCTTTCTCTTTCTCTGTCTGTCTCTGTCTGTCTGTCATTTGTCTCTCTCCTCTCTTTCTGTGTTTATCTCTCTCTCTCTCTCTCTCATTTCTCTCTCTTTCTCTTTCTCTCGTTTGTCTCTTTCTCTCTCTCTGTCTGTCTGTCTCTGTCTGTCTGTCGTTTGTCTCTCTCCTCTCTTTCTGTGTTTATCTCTCTCTCTCTCTCTCTCTCTCATTTCTCTCTCTCTTTCTCTTTCTCTCGTTTGTCTCTCTTTCTCTCTCTCTGTCTGTCTGTCTCTGTCTGTCTGTCGTTTGTCTCTCTCTCTCTCCTCTCTTTCTGTGTTTATCTCTCTCTCTCTCTCTCTCTCTCTCTCTCTCTCTCTCTCTCTCTCTCTCTCTCTCTCTCCTCTCTCATTTGTCTCTCTTTCTCTCTCCACATTAATCCAGGAGGGGTCAAGTTTTTTTTTTGTAATCAGAAGTCTGATCTCTTGCATGCATTTTGAAATGAGGCCCAAGATTGGATGACATTAGCCTGAAGGTCCCGTGCCTTTGTAAGACCATTGGATACCAATTTTGCTAGGCATGAGCAAAAGACCTCTTATGTACATATTCAGAGAAAAAAACCCAAAAAAAACGAAGTCCTGATCCATCCAAACCCCCTCAATCCCAACTGAGCTTCAAATAAAGAAAGCTGCTGAAGACTTTAGCACAACCAGAAGGAAACACTTTGGCTGGGAGTCAGCCAGCAGCAGATCCAGACACAAACACTTGTGCTGGAACGCAAAGTGACTGGGGGAAGGGAAGAAGGGGAGGAAGGAAGGAAGGAGAGAAAATGGGGGGAGGAGAAGGAGGAGAGAATATTAAGATTTTACTGCCATCCTCTCAATGAAGTCATTCTGGTTCCCTAAACTGAAACGGACAAATCCTTCTTTCTCCAGGAAGCGTCTTTCAGCTGACCCTGACTGAACTAAAACTGAAATTAGATTAGGTGTGAAACAAACCAGGTCTCTTGATAGAAGGCCATCTAAACATAGCTTTTCCAAGACTGGTGACACATGATGTATTCCCTCCAGCGCCTTTGCTATCAGTTAATACCCAACTAAGACTTTTCATGTGGAAGGCCATTGGCTCTGTTTGACTGCCGGTGCACAAGCAATGGGGGCACCTAAGCGACAATTTAAAAAATATACTGAGACTGTAGCCACACAGTGCCCTGAAGCCAGATTAGTATGACACACAATTGCGGTGTTCATGTAGCATGCTCTACGTGAAGCGTATAACTCAGGGCAGGGCTTAATATGATAACCTGGTTCACACAGCATATTAAGATCATAGCTAAGTTGCTACAACATACTTAACGAAAGCTACCCAGCCACATTTTAACTTACAAGCTAAGCTCTGCTTTGCTATTTTCCAGCATTTGGCCAACTCCAGAAGGTCTCAGGGGAAGACGGTGACTATGTGGTAAAACTTGAAGAACTGCTTAGGGAGTTGATGAAATCTCTGGCCCACGAGCCTTAGGTGGCCCATAAGTTATCTCTAGGCAAGCCACCTACTCCACAAACATCTGTTTCTTCTAGATCAGTCTGCAGTCCAACTTGTCTTCAGAAAAACCAAACCAAACCCTTCCTTTTTAAACATAAAGGCTTGGAGCAACCAAGAAGAGAATATGTCACAAAGAAGCAGGGGGTGGTGTCAACCTATTCTCCAAAGTCCCTGGAGGCAGGACAAGAAGCAATGGATAGAAACTAATCTAGGAGAGAAGCAACCTAGAACTATAAGGAGAAATTTCTTGACAGATCTATCAGTGAAATGATTTGCCTCCGGACGTTGTGGGGTGGAGGTTTTCAACAAGAGATTGGACAACCATTTGTCTGAAAATGGTGTAGGGTTTCCTGCCTGATTCAAGATCCCTTCCAATTCTGTCATTCTGTTATTCTGTCATGTCTCCTCGCATAATTTCGTCCCTGAACCAAACCCTCCTATCCTGACCCTAGAATTCTATGGGACTAAAACGTTACCAGTGACATTCCAGTCTTAGTTCTATATTTTTAGCTCTTTTGCTCCAGTAGTTAAACTAAGTTGCTTTCGTTCACAATCACTTCTTTCACTCTTGGCCTCCCCAATACCATCTCTGTTTTCTAATGATTTACACCCTGGGACCCTTTAACTGAATTTGAGGGACGGTGTATGGGGATCCCAGATGGCTATTCATCCATTAACCTAGACCCATGCTGATTATCACTTGCCTTCAATCACTTCCCCATTTGGGGGGGGGTCACTTCCTGCAGTATACGCATTTTGACTGTAAGCCCCCGAGGGCTTGTATTATTGTATTATTTACATGTATATCGTGCAACCACAAAAATAACAAGCAGGAATCATTAAACATTCCCAGATGCTTTTCCTAGCATCATATTCCTCTCCCCATCTCATTAATCTGTTCATATGTGATCCATTTACACAGCAATCAAGAATTCTCAATCGTGGTATCTGAGAATGTTTAGGTCAGCTGTCAGAACCAGAATGTTATCTCAAAGCAACTTATTCTCAAGAGATTATAAAGAATAACACAATAAACTGTCTTCTTATTATAATCAAAGCCAAACTTGTAATCCTATCAACTTTTTTAAAATAACAGCATGGTACTTATCAAGCAGTAAGACCATGACAAATCAGAATTATTCAGAATCATGCTCAGTGAAACCAATGAGCTAAGACAGATCCTCTCCCTCACCGTAGGCTGGAGATTCTGGATGTGCAGCTGGAGTTGAACGATATCTTTCTCCATGTTCAGTTTGTCTCCTTCCTTCATTTCAACTGTCAGAGTGTAAATGTTTAAGCTTTGGTGGTACTTGATGCAGGAGTCCCCAGAATGTACCGTATGTGACAAGGTGCTCCAGGAATCTGGTTCATTGGCTTCTTCTCTGGAAAAGACATGAGCAACCAAACTCTCAAATTCATAAATTTTGAATTTGCTATAACATGCTGCATCCTAGCAAGAGCCGATTATTAACAATTGATAAACCATTTGGGTTGCACTCTAGAAATTGAGAAATGATATCCAGCTGAAAGTATTTCAAATTATTTGACACAAGTAATCTATAACAGATGTGGGAAGAGTATAGAACAGGAGCTACCAACAAACCTTTAGGTGAACCTCTGCAGAAGCAATCAAATTTCAGTTTATAGATCTAATCTACAGAAGACAAAATATTTAGCTTCTGAGATGATGATGATGATGATGATGATGATGATGAGTAACTTCTCAACTCCTCCTTTCATCATGTTTTATGACCTTCCAGTCTAGCCTACTGCATTCCCAAGTGGTCCCCCATTCAAATACTGACCAGAGCAAAATTATTCTCACAGCCAAGACAATATATTTCCTACTTTCACAATAGCATCTTTGGAAGAGAACCAATTTTGAAATGGATACGTGAGATGCGACACAACACACAACAGCCTGTGCTGAGATGAATGCCCCACAGCAAAGAAATACACATACTGTGATGTCTCCACTGAGTGTTTTCCATCCCACATCCAACATGAAATCCAAACATGAAATCTCAGAGATACATTTCCCATTCCTGTTACTACCTAACCAGGTTTCTCCACCAATGGCAAGATCATCAGGATACTACTTATAAACATTGTTCTAGATTTAAGATTCCTACATGCAGGATTTTATATAAAATCACAGTCTCTGGAATCTCTATTTCTAACTGTACCATTGTTATCATAAACAAGGATACTCTTCTCCGAGAATCATCATAAGAGGCCATTATAGTCAAGGCCATGGTTTTCCCAGTTGCAATGTATGGCTGTGAAAGTTGGGCCATAAGAAAGGCTGAGTGCCAAGAATTGAGGCCTTTGAACTAGGGTGCTGGAGAAGACTCCTGCAAGTCCCCTGGACTGCAAGGCGTTCAAACCGGTCAGTCCTAGAGGAGATCAACCCCAACTGCTCTTTAGAAGCCCAGATCCTGAAGTTGAAACTCAAGTACTTTAGCTACCTAATGAGAAGGAAGGACTCACTGGAGAAGAGCCTGATGCTAGGAAAGATGGAGGGCAATAGAAGAATGGGACGACAGAGAATGAGGTGGCTGGATGGAGTCACTGAAGCAGGAGGCCTGAGCTTAAATGGACTCCAGAAGATGGTAGAGAACAGGAAGGAGGAACGTTGTCCATGGGGTCGTGATGAGTCGGACATGACGTCACAACTAACAACCACATAAGAGGCAAGAGATAAACGCACAAAGCCAAAAGACTGAACTGCTAATTGGTATCAACGGTCCTTACTTGTTCAGGATCTGATGCAGTTTCTGGTAGCCCCTCTCCAAGGCTAAGCTCACCGGTGTGGCTCCCTCACTGTTGGGAACACTCACGGCGCTTCTGCCACCTGGTTGCTTCAACAGGAACCACGTCAGCCGCAGTAAACCGAGTCTGGCTGCAAAATGCAACAACGTCTCCCGGGGAACATCTTCTGAGAAACCAAAGCAGAGAAGACGAGAAGAAGACTTCAGCCTCCAGGTTGATATTCAGATCACGTCTCGAAACTTTCCACCAGACACTCTCTCATTAAGAGCATGAGAGCTGGTTGACACATCAGCCAGGGTTCACAGTGAACTGTGAGAAGAGGCTGGACCGAGCTGAGACGACTGAATCAAACTCAGAGGGTACATGAATGATCAGACTGGTGGCTCCTTATTTTCTTTCCATTGTCATTCTTCATTTCCACCATCGTTTACAGAAGCGTAGCATCTATAGCAAGGTGATCTGTTCAATATCAAACAGTGCCCTCTGTCTGCCATTTACCTCCTTCTCAAAGCAATTAATTCTGCTTCTAACTTCGTTCTGAAACTACTTCTAACTTCATCATGAAACCTGGCTTTGCTAGTTGGGAGGAAGGGAGGGGAGCAGGTCACACAGCACAGGAAACCTTCAGTCACCCCAGCTGCTTCTGTGATTTCAGCCATTGTGACTCACCTGTGGTCATCTTGAAGCCCTAGGGACTAGAAGCTGCCTCTTGCCATCCTAAAAATTGAAAATTGAGCTGTCTGCAGAAGCTCAACATTCTAGATCACAGAAACCCTATTAACAGTAGTTTTTTTAAAAAAAAACAAAATTTAAAAAGAAAATATAAAGCATCGCATGTGACCGATTTGCAGCTAAAAACATTTTGTTGATTTGTTCTTGGAAGACAAGTCTATTCTCGTTAAGTCCCGTTGGCCATTCTGAGCAGCATTTCATGAAGAGTAATAGGTAACTTAGAAAGCATTTCTCATCCTTACTTTTTACTTTTTATTTATTTCATTCTCTCAATTCATTCGAGAGAGTTAACTTCTCTTCCCGGGCCTAAATCTGTCAACCCTATTTTATGTATAAAAATGAAAACCAGACAAAATTGGGGCAGAGAACTGGCAAGCTGAGTGACCACAGAGAGGAACAGCATAGGTCCGCTCCTAGAAAATTTCTAAATGGAATCAACATGTTGGTGCCTATATATGCTCAGTTAGAAAGCAATGTTGTTATTGCTTTGAGTCACGTAACATTTATTCCTGCATAAACCTAAGCTGCCCTAAAGAGTTAAAAGAGCTGCAGGACCTTGCAGTGCTAAATATGTCTGGATTAAATTTTGGCAAGAAGGCGCTGTAGCCTCACCCCAGTTGATCAGCTAAGAAGGACATATTGTTCATAGTTGGCCTTAAAGCAATAATAGAGATGTTTGCAGAAAGGGCTGAATGATTGATCGGCTGACAGATTTAATTGCATTTATTTTTTAAAAAAATATGTTTTATTTTATTTTTTACATATTCACCTTACTATTTGGTAAACAGTGTGTTGCCTGGGTTTATATTTAAAAAACAATCAGTAACAATTAGTTTCTATAATTCTATAGTCCACTAATAGCTTTGCTTGATGTTCTCTTCTTCCAATAATGTTCTCTTTTGCCAACCTTGAATTAATACAATTCTTATTATTTGGATAAATAACTATTAAATATAGACATTTTTCTAATATTTCTGCAAGTCACAACCACGTCTAAAGAGAAGAAGCTTAGAAAATATTGATATGCCTCTGCAATCAACAATGGATCTTGATAGTGTCCACAATAATAATAATAATAATAAAAAGAACAGTAGCAAAACAACCAGAGTGCATCTGAGTTGTGAGTTCTCCATCTCGGGAGGCTTTTAAGAAAAGACTGGACAGCCATTTGTCTGAAATGATATAGGATGTCCCGCTTGAGTGGAGGGTTGGGCTAGAACACCAAATTCTGATTGAAAAGGCACAAGCGATCACAATGAGCACAATTTGGGAAGTGCAGCACAATTTGTGCCAGGCAGATCAGATGTTGCGAATGAGTGTGAGAAAGTTGTTGACAGTGTGCTTGGAATGTACTGCACAAATATGAAATTCCAAGTTGATGGTTGAATAGGATAAGAGTGGCATGCAGGCTGAGTAAACGATGCATGAGAATAAATGGAATGCTTCAAGAATGAGAGTAAAGGGGGCAAGATAAGGATGGGTGATGTCACCCTGGTCGTTGAATGTATTTATGCATAATGCCACTTACCCCAAAAGTAAATAGCAAGGTTACTAATATCTGGAAAGGAAAAACAAATTATGGTCACACTGTGCAGCCAGCTGCCTGTTGCAACCACAGAGAAACCAACTGGTCAAAGAATAACTAGCACAACGTGACCACAAAGAACACTTGATAAGACTGAACTAAAGACACAGGAGGTAGAGAGAGAGAGGAAAGAAGGCGAGGTTCAAATTCTTAATATCTAAAATTAGCCCCCAAGGCTGCATTCTCCATTTCATTTCAATAGTGGCCTTTTCTAGGTATCTCCATGGATATTTTTGTAGAAATGAGGAACCAAAGGTGCTTTTTCAAAAAGGCAACTGGACTTTTTTGTTTTTTTCTTGATTCGCTTCTCCTCCAAGAATTATAATATACATTAAATAATAATGATAATGATGATGGTGGTGGTGGTAGTGGTGGTCGGGCATGGAACTGAAGAAGCTTCTTGGATGAGAAGTGAAATGTCTTCAAGGAAAAACAAAGGAAGTCCAGTTGCCTTTTGAAAAAGCATCTTTGGGACAACCATCACCTGGATGACAGAGAATCTCCACAGATGAAAGAGGAACCATTTAATTTAACATTTTTATACCCAAAAATTGGTGCTTTCTTCTCTTTTTCTCTCTCTCTTTCAGGAAGGCACTGTCCCAATAGTCATTTTGGTTAACTCACAGGATAAAAATGCTACAAATAACCTCTACCAAAACAAAACAACAACAACAGAATTTGATTTGTTTATGTGGCGTGGCGTTTTTCAATGCAAATGGCTTAGAAAGCTAATCTGGGCAGACAAATAGGGTCCTAATGGAATAAATCAGGTTTATGGAAAACAGATTCAACAGCCTGTACTTTGCAGGGAGAAATCAGTCCAGTCTGTTTAAAATACGACGTGGGGAACCGGCTCCTAAGCTTTGCTGATCACCGTAATAATCCAATCTGCAGCCATGTACAAAGCATTACCAAACCTTACCATTGAGATTGGGGTCTGTTCCCAACACGTTCCACTCGGTCGGCAGTTTCAGGTGACGAAACGCCAAAGTCACTTTCTCATCCAGAAAATCTAAGTCCCCTGCAGGTGGCCTGGAGCGGTCCAGGAAACGTGTAAAGTTTAAGGCTTGCTGGTTCCCAGCACAGGATGCCAGGAACTGTGCCGCGTCGTACGCTTCATCCTGGACAAACTGCAAGCTCTCCTCGGCCACCACCAGAAGTGGGTGGCCTTGCTTGGTGGCACAGAGAGACACCTTCACCGTCTCACAACAGTCATGGCCTGCGAAACAAAATTGACCTAAATCAGACATTTCCATTCTACTTTTCCCACGTCCTTCCATCTCCAGCTACAACATCTTCATCAAGGGTGTGTGACTTTGATGACATTCAGGGGTTGCACAATCCCTTTGGAAGAAGCCACAGGAGGCCAGGTTCCAAAGAAAGGGACAAGAATAAGGCTACGTTCATTTCATGTTCGTTAAACTACATCAGTTAAATGTCGCTTCACGGAGGAATGGGCAGCGTTAAGGGAAAAAACCAGTTAAATAAATAAATAACAGCCAATGCACAATTCTAATGGGAATTCTTAATAAAGTGATATATTCATGCTGGCATAAATAATTTCCCAGAATTGATTTCAACTGAAATCAGCAATTCTAGGTTGACTTGGTGAAGACGCCTGGGTACCGCACAAGATATTTTAATTTTGATTTTTTTTTCTACGCTTATACTTCCCCCCCCCCTTCTGTTCTTTTTTGGGGGGGAGGGAGAGTGAAATGTATCATCTCAAGCACAGGGTGTCTTTCTTTCAGAGCACTACAATCTAGCTACAATTGTTAGTTGTCAGTTGAGGACTACTTCCTTTAGCTTTTTCCTAAGTAGGGATATCGATCATCAGAACATTCAAACCTGGTTGAGCTATCAAAACCAGTCAAGATGAGAATGCCATCCTTTCAAACATTTTGGGCAAAAAGGCTGAAATATCAGGGTTGCACTGAAGGTAGTTCCCACAGCAAACCAAGCCAAACAAGGATTATACAGAGCATACGAGCTCAAATCGCCCTTCCTTCTGAAGGTTTCCTATTTTCAAAACCACCATTGTTTTATTGGTAGATCAATGCTTCGCCTCTCCTCCTTTCTTGTACCCCATTGCAGTCATCGCCCTCCACACCCAAACTGGGCATCTCATTCATTAATTACTGGAAAAGCTACTCTGCCTACTTCGGTCCCTTTTTGCGTGAATCAACATTCCTCCTCCCCCCCGGCCTCCTTCCTCTCTATTTTTAATTACATCAATGAACTCAAATGACGTTTTCTTCTCCAGAAACAGACTTGAACAATTCACAGCTGCTTGCTGGATAGTGGCAGTTGGGGGAAAAAAAATCCTTGTACGATAACATGGCAAAAAACCATTCGTTCACTATTGAAGAGGAAAACTGAAGCAGGAATTGGAGCCCTTAAGCTCTCAGAACGAAGATGGCAACGTTCCCCATAATTGGGGTTTCCTAAGCAAAGGGGTAGCTGGACTTAAGAATCCAAGTGGAAGGAGCAGAGAGGAACTATTTGTAGCTGCCCAACTTAATTCTGTTCAAAGATAAATGACTCCATGGTCATAAGACTAGGGTAACATCCAAATAGGAAAAGGGTGATAAAGATATCATCGCTGCCAACAACAACTCTTCAGGCAGTCTGAACTAAGACAAAGCTTGTCTCTCTCTTCTTCAGCCAACCATCCCATTGATTCAGACAACCTGTGCAAGTTGCAACATGGGGCACAAACTTTGTCATTCATATAGCTACCCATACCACAACCAACTCTGGTTGGCATTGTTGTTGTTAGTTGCAAAGTCGTGTCCGACCCATCGCGACTCCATGGACAACGTTCCTCTAGGCCTTCCTGTCCTCTACCATCTTCTGGAGTCCATTTCAGCTCACGCCTACAATCTGGGTCTTCATTTTACTGACCTCAGAAGGATGGAAGGTTGAGTCAACCTTGAGCTAGTCAGGATCAAACTCTTGGCAGTAACCAAAAGGCCGAATTCTAAAATGCCAGACTTCCAGGACTGAGAATAGTCACGCTAGGGATGGATTTTGGAAAATGCAGTCCCCTCGCATCTGGAGAGCATCAAGGTGAGAAACGCCAGACAATAAGTGAAAGAGAAGGAGCCAGAAACCTGAGATCTGAAGAAACAAGTCACCTAAAATGCTGGGCCAGGCTGCTGAACAAACCAACATTCAAATGTTTCAGCTCTTAGAGATGAGACCAAGATGGCAAATAAGATTGAATCAGATCAAACATCCAGCTGCAGAGAGCAACGTGTTGATTCTCTTTCAAGTTCTTTGGTGTTTTTCTTCTCTTGCCACTGACAAGCTCTCTCCTGCCCCGCCCAGAATTAGATTTTGACTTTGTCAATTAATTCAAAAGCAAGAAAAGCTATTCCTCAAAGAACACGGCAAAGATCTAAATTGCTTCAGGACTTCCAGCACCCATCCCATTAAACAGAGAAAGATCTGTGCTTTGCAGTGTCTGTTTCGTATTGCTTCTAAGGCTGAACGACAGAAATTAAATTGCTAAAAGAGGCAATTCAGTGTTATGGATTTGTAAAGGAAGAAGGCAGGAGAGTAACAAGATTAAACACACACACACAAACACAACGCAGACATAAGCTGGAGCCTAAAAGATAGGCTTCATCTGCCACACTAGGAGATAAATCATATGGTCCTGGATCAATAAAAGAAACAGTATATAACAGAATTTGCAACTAATCTCATAAGTCAGTGGTTCTCAGCCTGTGGTTTGCAGACCCCTGGGGTGTGCAGTGTTGTGATTTAAATCTCGAGTTAAGTCTTGGTGGTCCGTGCCCACAAAAGGTATTTAAAGGGGGTCCATGGTGAAGAAAAGGTTGAGAACCACCGTTATAAGTACATATAGTCAAGGCCATGGTTTTCCCAGTTGCAATGTATGGCTGTGAAAGTTGGACCATAAGAAAGGCTGAGCGCCAAAGAATTGAGGCCTTTGAACTCTGGTGCTGGAGAAGACTCCTGCGAGTCCCCTGGACTGCAAGGCCATCAATCCAGTCAGTCCTAGAGGAGATCAACCCTGACTGCTCTTTAGAAGGCCAGATCCTGAAGTTGAAACTCAAGTACTTTGGCCACCTAATGAGAAGGAAGGACTCACTGGAGAAGAGCCTGATGCTGGGAAAGATCGAGGGCAATAGAAGAAGGGGACGACAGAGAAGGAGGTGGCTGGATGGAGTCACTGAAGCAGGAGGTGTGAGCTTAAATGGACTCCAGAAGATGGTAGAGGACAGGAAGGCCTGGAGGAATGTTGTCCATGGGTTGCGATGGGTCGGACACGACTTCACAACTAACAACAACAAGCAGTACATGACTAAACAAAATATTACAGAGAAAATAAAAACCTACAATGCCTTGCACTACTTTTGCACTGAAATAACCAGTGAGAAATGCTAGCATCTCTTGGAGAGAAATCCAACAATCAGACTTGATAGGAAAATAATATGGAAGCCATTCCATTTGTGCTGTTGTTTGGCCTCCCATCCAGCTGCACTCCATTCAAGTAGACTGCTTTTATCGCCCAGCTGCTTGGAGACACAACACTGTTGTGACTAAACAAGAAATATTGGCGGCTTCACTAGAGCATGACTTCACATCCTATCCAGCCAAGTCTCGCATCCAGCCTACTCAAGATCAGCTCTTCTGAGGACTCAAATCTCAGATCAGACGGCAGAGTTTCAGAAACTATTTCAAGCTTCCCTAGGAACCCCAGTGCAGCATCACTTCTGTGGATGATCGAGGGTAACCATATTAATTGGACTCCTGAAAACATTACAATGTAATAAAGTGTGTCATTTATAGAGGAGTATACTGAAGTCCGCTGAAGAGCTCAGGACAGCTCTAACATACAGTATCAACCTTGTGAACTCTAAAGCTTCCATGGACAGTGATTAATATTTATATGTTACTTACATGTAAGGGTGTAGGTCTATACATAGGTTGCATATAGTATGTTTTAAATGCGTGCTATGTATGTGTACACTTTGAGAGCGAGCAACTAAATTATATTTTTAATGTGTGCCGTTGTGCCCACAGGAAAAAATGACAATAAAGGTAATCTAATCTAATCTAATCTATTTTATTTAAATTCTGAGGATATTAGCAAGGGATCCTTGTTGGTCTCTGAGATTGGTAGGCAAATAAGAGCTCATAAAAATTGACTACTGGCAAGCAAGCAATTAAGGAGGGAGGGAGGGAGGGAGGGAGGGAGGGAGGGAGGAAGGAAGGAAGGAAGGAAGGAAGGAAGGAAGGAAGGAAGGAAGGAAGGAAGGAAGGAAGGAAGGAAGGAAGGAAGGAAGG